ACTTCTGTAATTGTTAAATAAAGATGAGACTATATAAATGTTTCACATATTATTTAAGTATCTCAAAGATACAGAGTTAATAAACAGGATTTAAAGAATCACTACAAATTTTGTTATTTTTTATTTTATTATTATTATTATTTTTTATTTTTTTTGTTTTTTTAGTTTTCCTTTAACGTCATTGCTCCACACTCCATCCTAGTAGGTGGCGGTAAATGCACCTAAAGCTGGTTTGCCAACCGCCATAAAACGTCAAAGAAGAAGAAGAAGCACAGGAGGAATACACGTGTGTTTCCGCACATGTATAGATTTGATTACTGTTTAAATATTTTTGTATTGTATTGATTGACACAACACTGATGATGTCTGCGTCCATAAACAAGGAAACAGACGGCGGAGATGGTGTTGCGAAGGCAGAAGCTCTCGATAACGAAGAGGATTCTCCCATTGTGAGCCGCACACGGAGTGGTCGCAGACTGCGGACGCCCGCGGCCAAAACTCCCGTCCGCCGGACCAGAAAGTCTGTTGTCCGAGAAGATCCGGCAGAAAGCACCGAGTCTCGGCAGGAATCGCCACTCGATGAATGTACAGCAGATACTAAAGGCGATCAGTGCAGCTCGGTGACAGAACCAGTGTGTCCTGATGTGTCTACATCAACACCAGCAGATGTCAGTCGAGAGTCAGTGCCGGACGCTGCAGATTTGATGGGGTCAGATCAGGCCAGTGAGAAGGAAAATGTGGTAAATAACACAGAGACAGAATCCACTGGTCCCACTGACCCCGAGAAAAGGGCCAAAAAAAGGACTCACTCAGAATCCACTGAGAAGAAAAGTAAGATGGTACCTCTTGGGAAACCTAAGTCTGGAAGAGTATGGAAAGACAGAAATAAGCAAAGGTGATTACCACTATAAAATGTTTTATTACTGTCCTGATAACACTTGGCCTATTTAATTGTGGAGTTTTTGCATATATGTTTGCTTTCATGTTCTTGCATGTCTATTAATCCATAATAATGCTTAAGTGTGTGAGATGTTTTTTTGTTGTGTGGCTCATTTTTGTCTCTATTTGTCTGTTTACTAGTACATTAGTGTTTCTTCTGTCCGTTATCTATCTGACGTGTTCAGCACTAACTTTGTTTTGTAGGTTCTCCGCTTTGTTGAGAGACAAACCTCTGCGTACTTCATGGGAAAAGAAGATGGAGGCCAAGAGAGAGAAGCAGCTGGTGAAGAAGTACCACCAACAGCTGAAAGATGAGCAGACCAGAGAGAAAGAGGCGAGTTTATGCCTCAAAACTGCATGTTTTTGTCACAGACAGGTCTTGGGTGAAGCAAGTATTAGGCCATAGTTCAATTAGGACATTTAAGTATCTTTTATAAATGTGCCTTAGAAAAAACATTACTGGTGTGCATCTTGAGACAAATCAATTCTACTAACATATTTTATGATATGTCAGTGCAAGTTTCTTACAGTTAAAGTGCCCCTATTATGGGTAATGAAAGGTTCATATTTTGGTTTTGGGAGTCCCCAACAACAGGTTGAAAAAACACTTTCATTGTCTTATAATATGCATTTATTTTTACATTATTTGCTCAACGACTCCCAAACGATTCGTTTAATGATTAATTTTTCCAAACCCCTCCTTTGCGTGACACTAATCGGCGGTGATTGGTTTCATTTTCATTTCATCTTGCCTGTAATGCCTGATAAAGCAGCGTTTGTGAGCGCAGTGCTGCTTTGTGTACAGCGTTACCGGGGAAACCGCTATTTTTATCGCTCCAAAAGCTGCACCTAGTGGCAAAGAATGAATTTGCATTTTCATTCAGACCAACG